TTTATTTTAAATAATAATTTTATTCTATTATAATCTTAGGCCTGAATGTCTATAGGATCTTAAAAACGCGGACAAAATGGACAGGATCAAATGCTTTGATATTCTTATTTGTGGTCTTCATGATTTTCATAGATGATAAATTAATCCAAAAAGTTCATCCTGTGATTATTATACTCACTGTATAGTGTATCGGTTGTCGGACTTACCGAAAGGCGTGGAGGATGGAGGCTGCTGCAGACAGGACTGCTGGCTCTCCTCTGTTTTCATCCCTTCTCTCCTCCCCTCAGTGTGATCGCTAGAGACAAAAATGAACCATTTCTATCTAAAATATCATTGGAACCATGCTATAGTAAATCAACCTAAAAATAAGGGGATTGGTAAGAGAGCCGTTTTTTTATTTTTATTTTTTTATTATTTCATTATTTTATAATAGGACTGCCTATGCCACCATTATTTAAAATCAGACCGAATCAAAAATACACACCTATAGACTGGATTGCACAAGCTTATAAATTGCAGGAGAAAAAAACACGATAAAAAAGAGAATTTGAGAATGTTTCTCTTCTAACAAAAATTCTAATTGAAAGGGACTTTTTACGAGCACCAAATTGTATTTCAAACTTTGCAATAAGCTATAACTTCTGCATTATATATTCTACTTCTAATGGTGCAAGGCAATTTGTATGTATCGTGCATTTTATGGTTTCTTTTAGGAAATAATAACAAATTAACAGTCCTAATGCAAAAAATGTAAGACAAGCAAAAAAATACATATTTGGCTTTTAGATTTATATTGGTTTAAATTTACAATTTTTGTGTTTAAATTATTTTAAACATATATATCTGATCAGGTTAATTGTAAAATGTACAATGTTTCCATTTTATTCTTTACAGTATTTTTTTAATTGACCCGTTAAATCAAAACGGATAACGAAAAGAGAAACTTTTCGGACGGCATTTTGTATTCTACTAATTTACCTGCTCAAACAAACAAAAATGAAAGAGGACAGAAAAAACAAGCAAAAATGGCGAAAGATTCAAATAAAAATAAATTAGTTGTGGAAACACTGACGAAAACTTTCTGTGATGTTTTTCTGCAGGCTGGAGTTTCTCAGCACTGGTGTCACCAGATTCTAGTGTTTTGTGTAAAGTATAATAATATAATGATAGTCTATATTTTAAATGAATAACACACTAGATTTGTGTATGTTCTTATTATTGCGATAATTGTAAGGAACCCTATTGATTTCTACATTTGAGGGGCCTGTGGGGTGAACCTGTAAAATACAGGGAATATAAAATGGATTGTTGCCTTAGAAAGTGAAGTAATTAGATAACACCAAATGACTTATGTAAATACAACTAATCTGATTTGGCACTTTTCCTAATTGCGGGTTGAATACATTCATAATACACTTGTGTAAAGCACCAATAATTACACGTCGACGCTAAAAGCCGGTGCTGTGATCATCAATATCGAAGTAATAACGATTTCTGGATTTCCCGCAAGTCACCTGGAGCTACAATTAAAGAAAGCAAAACTGTCATATTTATGAGGATGAACAATGTTTTCTTTAAAGCTGAATGTTAACTGCATTCAAATTAATGCTAAGAAGCCAATCTCTGTTTAATGCAACAAACAGCCTTTCTATTTTCAGAGATTTGTTTACAAGTTGTTTGTAATAAATAGCTGGAAACTATAAAAAGTCAGACCTTCCCTCGTGCCATCAAAAGTAAAAGTTGAGTTGTAGATGTGATTGCTGAATTCAAGTCACGTTAAAAACTACTGTAAACAAACATAATAATAATAATGATTATTATTATAATACTCTAAAAGCAGCTTGCAGTCTGTAAAGCAGCTGGTTCCCTTTAGCATCATATTTTTAGGACTATTTCACATGCTTGTGCCAATACATTAAAGATCGAAGATCGAACATAACAGACAGGAAGGTCATCAGGATTTAATCCTTTATCCCGTGTATTTGTCAAAAGACCCCTAATAATGTTGGCTCTAAGCACGCGCCGCTGCTGGAACACGAAATGCACATCAATTCAAGAAACACGGTTATTTGGAAATCACGAGGCTGCCTTCAGTGACAACCTGTTCTTGAGTTGCGGAGACCTACCTTGAGGTGAAACACACTCCTCCTGAAATCTCGGTTGGCAACATTAAAACCTGGGGAAACTTTAGACTAGTAAATGAACAGACACGATCGCAGATTATCCACCTGTACCTCACAAAGCGCCGAGCATGTTGCCTACGGTAAAAATCCAAATACCATGATGACCCGAAGTACTGCCTATTGTCTCTCCTGTTTTCTCCGGCAGCCGTGTGTGCGCTCTGACTTGTTTTGTGCGTAAAAAGGCGCAGAGGGAGGAGATGGACAGAAAAGGAGGGAGGGAGAAGGTGCGGAAAATGATGAGGGAAGATGAGTGATAATACAGCCTATTGATAACTCAGATGGGGAGGATCTTTTGCATTTGTGCTCAAGGTTACACGGAAACTTAAAAGGGCACAGCTAAGGTGAAACAACTTGTGATGACATATCAGCCCCTTTCACACAGGAAAACATATTTAAGTTTTTGTTGTATTATACACCAAAACTGTCTGAGTTTGATGCAAAAATATCAAAAGAACAAAGCCGAATGAAGATGATATCACTTTACTCCTTCTAGACATCAGGAAATGTTGCTTCACTCCATTTACTTAAACCAGGCTGTAAAATCAAACAGGTGCAGGCATTAAAATGCTGACATGGAAGTAAAAAAAGTGTCATGTCCAAACACAGAGCACTGAAATTAAAGATAAAAGGTTTATTGCCTTTTCACTATTGTGTCTGACATGCTTTTCCCGCATACTGAGAGAGGACCGCCCCCTTGTGTTAAAACAAGAAAGGTGCATTAAGCTTAACATGATCAGTGTTAAGGTCAAGGACACCAGTAAAGGCATATATTTGTTTACAGACTATAAAATTTTTCATTTATAGGCAATAATATATTGGGAAAGCACAACAAATGTAAAACAGCATTATATTGATGACACATTTTACAAATATTCATAACAGTTTGCTCGGGTCAAAACCGTTATACTCAGGTGCTAGTTTGTATCTTTTCACCTCGCCTGCTAATTAATTCAAAACACAAGAGCTAATTAAAAAAATAATATATAAACTTCTCATGTGTGGTCTGTTTAGTGAACTGCTGGATTATCAACAGACCAAAATCTAAAGAAGATTAAGTGTTAATCCAAGCAGGCACCAGGATTGAACTTTTCCCTGTGTTTCATATGTTAGTTCAGTAGGTTTGATGACTAAAGACTTTGTGTTCCTGTGGTGACATTTGCACCTAAAATGTGGATGTATTCTATTCATAATAAAGGCATAATAATGGTAATATTGACAGAAGCATTTGTTGTTACATACAATAATGGTCATATTAATGATGTCCTTTGCTGTATGTGAAATCATTCCAGTGAACCATCTGCAGATTTTTATCTTCCCTCAGACAAAGAGCTGCTCATCCTTCCCTGAGTGGCTGCGTCTCAGCCTTAGACCAGACAGGATCTTCTGGGCCGGTGAGGTAACATTTTTCTCAACAGGAATTGTCTTTGGTGACGAACACAGATGGTGATAATGTCCAGTACTCTGCTTGTTATTGCTCTGATTTATGTTGCGATTTGCTCGACATCCTCCTGCCACCTCTTCAGCAGCCTGCGTTGCACTGGATGCTGTAGAAGGTGAAAGTGGTGCATACGTAGAGTCCAAGCCCAGCATGTACTGCACAACCTCACGGGGGCTTAGTGGGGCATCCATTTTATTCTCTGTGTCAGTAGTCACATGCTGGGGCTCAAGAATGCCCTCATAATGGATATCTATGTCTCGAGAAAGTCTTTGTGCCCCTGGCTCTGGAGAAGAGCTGCGACTGCTGTCTGCACTTCCTGTGTGGCCCCTCAGTTGAGGTGCAGCCTGTCTGGCTGCACATGCTGGGTTCGAGACTCGGGTTCCTGTATTATGATGTCGGTGATACTTCACAGGCTGTCTGGTGAAACGGTAGTATGGCTGGACTCCTAAATCAGAGGTAGCTTCTCCAACCATCTCACCCTGAGGATCACTTGATACATCTCTCATAGCCAGGACTGGAGCAGTAGAAGGATAAGCATGTGATTCACAAAGTTAAGCATTTCCAACACCAGTTATTGATTATTTTGCTTAAAAAAACAAAATCATTTTATATGACATATAGTGCAACTTGACTTGAAAGCGAGGACTTTTGAAGCTGCTGTTTTAGCAACAGAGAAGAGAGTCCCTCAGAAACACAGCGAAAGTACAAAAAGCAAAGAATGGTTTGAGCCTCAGACTTTCCAAATCCCCAAACTCCAAAATCTAACTTTGTGTTGTACAAATTCATACAAAAACTCAAATGTCAAACTGCAAATTCCAAAAGAAATGATCATATTATAATTAAAATCACACGAATTAATTCATTAATTCCACAAAGACTATCCCTAACAAAACGTACTCAACCGAATTCAGCCACTTTTACTGAATAGCAACATATAAGGAAGTCCTACTTCTAAAGATAACTGGATGATGTACACAAAGTAATTAAAAAAACAGACATTTTAAGTATTCTACACCTACAGAATCTCACGCTTAGAAACACAAGCTACTTTGTAACTGTAAATTAGAACCAACCCCCTGTGTGCAAGAAATTAAGCAAAACACTTGGGAGCTGTTTGGTAATACCTACAAGAGGATTATTTAAGACATGTCCTCAAGTAGCAAAACTACAAGCTGACACAAGAGAGAACTCATTGTACTTGGCAACTGAAAATGTCAACATCTTTAGGTTTCACAGGACACAGTCACAGTGGATAAATTAGTTTGCTGACCTGCTCTAGTCAGGAGTAACTCCTCTATCACTATGTCCCGCCTACCTGCTCTCTCACTGGCTTCAGCGCTGAGCTGGTCCACTGCCTCATTGGATGAAGACTTGTCAGATATATAACCCTCGCTTGACTCTCTCTTGATTCGATTCTGCTGGAATGACACAAGTTGAGTGGTGGATTACAGACCACATCTAAACCTGCAGCACTGCATTATTATAGGATTCCTACCGGGGCAATGACTACTTGGGATGAGTCTTTTTTATTTTTATTTTTTTATTAGGTACAAATATAAAAAGGTTTTACTCTCCTAAAGAAAGGTGATGTCATTTTTGTGTTTTAATTCTTTTGATGCAACCCAACTAAAACCCCACAATTAGGTGAACTTTAAAAAATTTATTTTACAGGAAAGAGCTGTGTAAAGCAGAAAGTAAAAGCTAGAAAGACGGTCATGCAGGCCAGAGTGCAGAGGGCAGGAGAAATACAGCAGTGTGCGTGAGGATCTTGTTAATCCTGATGGAAAAAACGTGAGGTTAAGGTGGCAAGTGTTAAGGCTCTTAAAAAACTGGTAAGTGTGTTTACTCTCACATGGTGTGAATGCTAAGCAACTGCTGCTTAAAAGGGAGCAGTTAAAAATTAGCCATAGATGTTTAAAGTGCATTGAAATACTTACTTCTACTGAGCGTGGCCGCTCTCTGGAGGTGGTTTCATTTTCTGAGTCGAGATAAGCTACCCCATCCAAGGGGCAGGAACCTCTGGGAGGGGTGTCAGGAAGAGGTGCAGTAGGGGGTGGAGGAGGGGGTGTATCGGATCCCTTCTCCAGGCCGAATATTTTGTCGTGGTGTGTGATGAGGAACTCAACAAGTACAGCCTGGTAGGTGGTCTCCAAGAGGGCAATCATTGACATGTCTGTCGACACTAGAGGGCGCAATAACGTTGGCCCAAAAACAATGCCTAAATTGCTGGGAGACATCTTGTTCTCGTAGTTTTCTGAAACTCTGTAAATAAACACATGAGACAAATTCAAGGACAGCTTAAGTTAAATTTGACTTAGAAGTCAAAGTCAGTGGTCCAGTATAGAAATAAGTAAATGTCATCTATCAGGTTTAGGCCAAGTTAAACTAGAGAGGTCTGTGGTCCCAGAGCATGCTCACCTTTGAAGATGAGATACAAGGTGCTGCAAGGTGCTGTAGCAATATGGAGGAAGTCTGTGTAGTAGCTTTTGCAGGTTGTCAGTGATATCCATTATCTCATTAGTCTCTGGTGACGTCTCCCCATCATTCAGGTGCTGAATTGCTTTTCCCACCGCGACGAAATCATTGTACAGGTCAAAAGTTAGTAAGGGCTCAGGCAGCTGCAAGAGATAATATTGAAAATATTCAGTGAGATATCAGAGAAAACTTACATCTCTTGAATTGTGCAAAAATGAGGTTTGTATTTTAATATCTCCTTTACCTCCTTAAAGAAGTGCTTAAGGATAGAGGTGATGTCATGTGGTGAGAGGTCCGAGAGGTCCACTTGCTCTTTTTGTGTTTCAAAGGCATGGCAGAGCTTCTGAATGCGAGGCTTGGACCCACTCACGCGATACACACCCTAACAGAAATGATTATTAGATCACTATTCATACTTGACAACCAATGTATTTGTACCAGTGTGAGGATAAATAATACCTGGACAGAGAGAGCACGGCTCTCAATCTCAGATGTGCAGAGAATCACTACAAAGGGCACCTCATCTGGCCTGTCACGTGGCAGCAGAGAGAGGTCCACTCCAAACACCGATCCCTTCTTATGCTCACATTCTAGCTGACACACCTCCATACACTTCCTGTGCAAAGCTAGGCCACACTGAATGTGAGATAGAAAAGAGCCAATCTCATTAATAATCTCATGAAAGCCAGTTTTCTGCCCATGTTACAATATATTCATCAAATGTGTAATTATACCTCTTCACATTCAACCCCACTGACAACAATATAGTTGTCACACTGCTTGCATTTGGCCATTTTGCTTTTCATTTTCTTGAGTCGATGTGATAATGCAGCTCGCGAAACCTGTGGCACTTTGACTGGCTGACTATCATTGTACTCTGGAGGAAGGTGGAGAAGATAGGTTTATTTGCCAGCCAGGGATCAAATAAAAAATAAACTCTATTAACATATTCTGTTCATGAAAAGAAAAGGAGGTAAGAACCTGATTCATCCCGGTCATCTAGGTCGTCTGATGACACTGTCAAAGTGGATGCGGTTTTAGCCTGCCTCCTAGCTTCAGTTATATATTCCAAATAAAGCAAAAACACAGTTAGTTTAAAAAAAAAAAAAAGTTCCACAAGTTTCGAGATGCATGTACTGTAAATTAAAAGTTAGATACAAAAATGTAAGCCTGTGCCTACCAGGGCTAGACAGGGACTCCGAACTGCCTCCGATGCTCTCACTGTCACTATATCCAGTTTTCCCTTAGGTGAACCAACACACAAATATTATTAAAGAGAAAGATTATTTTTTTTAATATAAAAAAGTATAATTAGGTGGAGCCCTTACTGCAATCACTGGATCGTCGCAAAGGACTATCATCTGCCATGAACGAGTCTGGCAGAGTGTTCAGAGTGCTGGTTTTTCTTTTGTTGCTTTAAAGAAAAGAAATTATTGAAACAATTATTTTAACAAGTAAATAGGTAGAATATATCAAACATGTTTTCTATCCTATTTTATGACAAGGATATACACTCAAATACATCTGTCCCTACTGACACATGTTTAAATGTTCAAATTTATATTTAAAAACATGCTACATATTTTATCAGCAGTAAAAGAAGCAGCAATAAGTCCCTTTAACGCACCCTTTACCGTGAGGAACATACTCCTGGAAGGTAAATTTTTGGAGAATCTGCTCAGGGCGACGCTTACTGAGAACATACTGCAGATACGGCTCACCAGACTCCTGGGCTCTGCATGTTACCTCCAGGTTGTGATAGCCAAGTGGAACAGGCTCTGCCTGCTGACGCTGGAAGTAGAACAGGTTCACTGTGACCTAATACAGAGAGAAGACATCATGTGGAGTCAAGGAAAAAAAATTAATCAAAAAAAGTGATATAAAATATAAGAGTAGTGTTTTGCTCACAATTTACTTTTCATACCCGCAAAAAGTAAAAGAAAAAAAGAAAAAATATGCAAAGGAATCTTGTAATTTTATGAAACATGGTCGTTTTTTATTAAAATTCTTTATACTGTATGATGCAAAACATAAATCACTGCTTAGGTAGATTATTATTTTCGGGTAAATTTTTGTATTAATCAACTTAGAACTTAGAAGCTGATTAACTACTAATAGTTAGACATGTTAACTTCTCTTCAGTCATTAGACTGTTCTTAGGTAATGATCCTGTAAATATATATGTAGCTATCCAAGACAACTTATAATATCAACTATATAATAACACATATTCTATATTTATACCAAAATGAAGTACTGACCTCTTTGAGCACAGTGTCTCCTTGAAAGATGAGCTTACGAATGTGTGAAATGATTCTTTCTTTCACCTTCACTAACTCATCTTGGTGGATCTTTGCATCAGTCACACACTGTTTATATATCAACTCTGCCTCTAACACCTGTGAAGACAGAAAGAAAATCTAAGTGGCTATGCAATCTGTGTTTTCCTCTTTTTGCATCGTCTCATAAGCCATTACTAAGGATACCAAAAAAAGATTTACTTTTTGTGTGCTGAAACCTTAGGCCCTTATTTCTAAAGATTATACAGTATTTAGTCTATTAACACGACACTCGCCTTAGTCTGAGCTTCATCCTTAGACTTCCTCCTCTTATCTAGTGTTTTGCTTCCTACTGTGTCATCTGCAGCCTTAGCAGAGACAGCTTTCGCCTTTTCTAGCTCTTCACAGCGCTGGAAGTACTGTTGCTTGGCCTTTTTATAAGCTGTCACTGCTTCATTCTGAAAACAAGGAAGGGAGATACACAGAGTGGAAAACACTGTTTATTACTGGCACAAATTTTAGCACAACATACGAGAAAGGAAACACACTGGTTACATCCATAACAGACAAAACAACATATACATGACATACAAACAAGTATACTGTCCACTGTTTATACAATTTATACACAGATACTAATTTTAGATGAACTGAGACAAAAATATGTAATGATTATGACAACAATTTTACTATTTTCATGTACAGTCTAATATGACTTTAATAGATACCAACAAGTTCACTAACGGTGCAAATAACTCTGCTTAACATCAACCAATACAAGGAGTGATTATTTACTTACCATCCTCCTTTGTTCTCTTGCCCACTGCTCTTTAAATTCTCTGCGCCACTTGTCAATCTCATTTCTCTTTGCACTCAAGGCCTTTGAGACAGAGAATCGGTATTTAACACATCTACATCTAAACATCAGTGATGGTTTTACATGATGTGTTTGTAGGCTTCTATACCTGGTAACAGCGACTTTGCAGCAGATCAGAAGTCCTTCTAGCGTTCAGACAATTTTTGATGTCTTGTTCTAGAGCCAGTGTGTAGATGTACTGTAATGGCATCATTTCCTGCATAGACAAGAGCAAAGAAAGAGAAACGCTACAGTCTAAGAAAGAGAAATGCCACAGTCTCTGTCCTAGGCATCATTATAAGTAACCCATTGTGATGTACTGTAGCAATCATTGGTACAGTTTTTGTCAAGTATCCAGTAAACCATACCTGTTGGAGTACATTGGTTTTTGCTCCTTCAGCCGTCTTCATTATACTTTTTGCAAATTCCTGCTCTGCAAAGAAAAAACAAACAAACATTTTTTTTTTCATGTAAAAATAAAAAACACAGGCATGGTACATGAGGATAAAAAACACAAGTAGAATCACTGAAATTCTTGCACTATACTGAACATTTTTGGACATTACCTATCTTCTGTGTCTCTTCACAAGTCTGACATTTGATGAATAGCCTATGCAGCACCCACAGAATAACTAGAACTTGTAGTGTGGTCAACTCTAACCTGTGTCTATTTTGAAGTTAAAAGAGGAATTAATTTGGTTAAAAATACCTGTGGTTTGCATTTTGCATCAGTTCAAGAACTGCAACAGGAAATGAACCAAGCTGATGTCAGTATGATCTCACTCACACTGTGCAAGTACTGATACAAACACTAAGTCAACAGCAGTTTGTGATCTGACTGCTCTCTTTGAGCAATGGGCTCTATACTGTTAGCAAACTCAAAGTGTTGCTTTACTGTGTAATCACTAGTTTGTGGCTGAGCTTCACCCAGCATTACTCATGTGTTACCATTGCCTAACTGATTTCCTTACACACTTGAGGTTGGTAACTGTTGCTCTGTGTTTTGAATGATAACACTACTATCAGGTAGTGATGTCAAAGTATACTGTCAAAGTATATTGACATCACTACCTGAATTCATAGGATCTGAAAAGGCTCACAGAAGAGGGATCGCTGTGTACTCCAAAGACAAGTAGTGTCTTTTATTGCCCTCCTCTTTTCAGCTAATCTGCTCTTTAATCCTTTCTGTTTGTGTGTAGCGTGCAGTCCTCTGGAATGACTGCATAAACTCACATCCTCTTTAACAGAAATAATCCAGGCAGGTGATGAAAATTACTCGATGGTACTCCAGCTAATACTAAAAATGCATGTATTATGATTTTTCTTTCTTAATGGGTAATACAAAGCAGCAAACCAATCTTCAGTGTGCACCTCTTCTCCTTTACAGGGTGACTACTGCAGCACTATTTCAAATGTTATTATATCAAAGCAAACAAACAAACAAACAAAAAAAAACCCAATTTGCTCTAACTCTAGATGAAAATACTAGGGCACATTCACTTATACCTAACCTACCTGCATGAAATGATCATTTACTAACACTTTAAACCAATTAATGTTGGTACTACTCTAAGACTACTGACTTCATAGTGGATCAGAATTATTTTCATTCATATTGTACACATTATGGCTTTGCATTTTGTAAGAAATGCACCTATTCTTGTTTCTGTGTGCGGTTTCTATTCAAATATGCCATCTACGATAAGACAAAAAATTTGCATGTTACACTACTATTTCCTTTACTCAGCTGTGTATTTACCCAAGCTGATTCTTTTCTCCATCCAGGCAAGAAGGTCTTTGGCATATCGGCACCACAACTTGGCGTACTGCAGCGCCGTCTCCACTCCATCCTCACAGCGACATAGGGCCAGGTCTGCTTCTTGGACTGTGAGGGAGTACATCATCATAATGGTAGGCTCAAGGTGTACCCAGGAATTACACTGTAATAGCACATAATATCCCCTTTTCTCAAGAAAACGTTTAGTCTGTCCTTAAGTGATATTAATGGTCCCAGACTATATCTGACAACATAAAGAGGTTTAAAAATCAAATACCAGTTTAAAAAAAAGATATACACAAACCCAAAACAGGAAATAATGGCTGGATATGACAAGTCATAGCTGCTCCTCAGAGTAAAGGTCCTGCAGTTTCCAGAAGGTGAGAGCAAACTCTAGCATGTATACTGAAATATACATTAGTTTGTCGGTAAAAAAAAAACAAAGAAAAACCCCCTCTTAAATTCGCCCTATGTCTCACAGTTGACAGAAAAAGGATGTAACTAGAGAGAGGACAGCCCCAAAACAAACTGCTTTAGCTAAATAACTTCCCTCCTCTCTCTTCCCTTTTGCCTGGCCCCTCCCTCTCACACCTGTTCACTCGTAGTCAGCTACCGACACAAGCCATGTTGTGAGAGCACATAACAGCACACTAGCATGTTGTTATAGCGCTACTGTGGTCACCAAGGCAGGGCGTTAATACGATAACCACTCTTCTTCCTCTGTGAGTCACACTAGTGCAGGGTGGATGATGTATCTGTGACAGTCACATGGTCTTAACAAAAGCTCCCTACACTACTTTCTCAATGTGTTCCACTTCCAGCACAACCTTCGCAAATAAATGCAATAATTTTTTTTCTTTTAACCAAAGCTGATGCATTTCAGCAACTTTCACTTCTTCTAGCGGTCCATTGTGCAGTGCTTTAAAACATGCAAGCATGTTATGCCAGAGAGACAGAGAGGCAGATTTTATACTGCTCTTCCCCTTCAGATAGCTGCCAAATCCAGTTAGAGTGGTAGGAAAAAAAAAAAAATCAAACCAGACTTTCTTCTGCCATCATGCGCAGCCCACAAAATAGAACATGCAATTCCAGAGATATGTTAGGTTTTGTGCTATGGGTGACCTCTCTTAGCCTTTCCTCTCTAGGGAGAGCTCTGAGCACTTTCAGAAATCAGTCCTTTGGAGTTCAAGCTCTTGGAATAAGGATTATTCCAGTCAAGTCCAGAATGCAGAGTGACAGGGTTTAGAGGAGCGTTGAATCAGGTTTATCTCCTGGCATGTGAGAGAGCAAGCGTGCTAAGGTGGTGTGGGGGAGGTGTTCTTGAGAAGAGCTTCTATGCCCCAAGAATACATTTGACATTGCTCACCATCCAAGTTTAACACAGTGTGCCTCTGTAATATCTTATCTTACCATGTGCCTATAATTTGAGTCAAACTGAAGTTTGTGCACTTAGCTCAAAGTCCCACTGTAGACTATGAGTAAGTCTGGTGCATTTATCCATCTGACTTGTGTTTATGCCATAGACCATGTAACAGGAGATTTCTGTAACTCTCTTTTTTCCACTAGTCTAATGTAAAAACTGAGAGCAGCTGTCCCCTGCTTTAATCCTCTCTCTTTAGCCTAATCTTGTTACAGAGGGATGGTTACAACTCACAGCTGATTATAAGACAATAAATAAATGTTGAAGAAGAATATTTGTAAAGTGTCACAGACAGTAGCTCCTGCTACAGCTAATGATCCGATGGGATGAAGGATAGTATCCTGTCAGTCCCAGGAAGGTTAGTGCTAGGTTAAGCAGGTGACTGAACCACTTCAGCAAGAGGTTCACAGTGTAAAGGAATGTCGCATTGAGACCAACTGTTTATAACAGCTGACGTTATTCACTGACCCTGACCAGAGAGCATGCAGACAATAACACACTCATTTGGGCTTTTTCATCCCTTCTGTCACACAAACCATACCTGTCTGAGTTCCATCCACGTCATTGGGTTCGGCACATATCTGTGGACAAAGTGCATCTTCAAACTGGTGGAACTCTACAACTCTATCAAAGCACATCTAATCGTCTAAAAACAAACCATCAGCAGTGGAGACAGTAGATTTGAAAACTGAACCTGAGCTAAACTTTAGCATAACAACAGCATAAATGACAGGCCTTTCATTAAGTAGATCATTCACTACATTCAAAAGGTATTTATTTCTTACGGTCACGTCATGTTGCTCTGTGGTCTCTGCAGTTTCTACAGAGATAGGTTCTGAGATGGACTGGGAGTCAATCTCTGCTAGCAGATCATCCCCTGAGCTGAGCACAGAAAGAATGTATAAGGAGAGAAACATATTTGTCAAGGAATATGCCAGCAAGCATATGCTACTGGGCCTTTTATTACCATAAACAAGCCCCTTAAGAACCTTTCAAGGTCCAGTTCATGTATTTTTATCATCTTAACTATATTCACCACTGCACCTTTGCTTTAAAGAAATGTTATAAACAGTTTCCAGTCAGTGCTTCTCATAAAATATGAGTCACAATCAGGATAGATTAAACCAGACATGGCAATGCTAATATAGAAAGTTATTAAACCTTTAGTTAAAAGCTTGAACTAGATAAATATACCAACAGATCATACATAACTGAGTTCATGTTGATGGATTATTAAATGATAAAATATAAATTAATAATTCCATCCTCAAGAGCTTTTTATCATTTTCCATCTCTAGACCATTTGAAATAGCAATTCACTAACCACAGTTTTTACTTAGCACCCGAGTGATGCAGGAGAAAAGGGTTGCACAAGGTAATACTTACGAAGAGATGAAAGATAAATCGAGGTTATCAAAATCTCGGAAGATCTCACTGTATCGCTTTGTTTCAGATTTCTGCACTCGTTTCACATCTGAAATGAGAAATGTAAAAGCTAAGATACATACAAACTTTACATTGTATTTATGTTACATAGAGTAAACGGGGATCCTGACATGTGAACCCTTCCCCCACCCCGAAAAAGCACAAACTATACAGAAATGCATATTATACCACAGTATCAAAGCTAGTTCATCAAGTATATATATAAACACACAGTAAAATAGATGAACTGAAAAAAGGATCCAGTTCAAAAAAACAATCAAACTTAGCTTCTCATAAAATCCTATCTGACAGCATTTGCCCTTAATGTGAAATAAAACTGACACATTTTGCTGCTTAAACTTTTGTGCTTTTGTGCAACACTTTGACCGTTTAATAACCCTCTGACATAGCAAAAAGTTAAAAACTGATAATTCACAATAGGTGTAACAAATGTAAAAAAGAAATCACTCGCTCAGAGAGGCCTCCATTTTGGTCAACCACATCCTGCTTGCAGTTTGTGTCACGTCCCATCGTGTACATAGAGTCCTTGTTTTTCACGCCACCAGTGTTTCAGCTCAAGAATATGAGCTGACAGGAAAGTAAGATGTTTCAGCAAAATTTGAACACAGTTTTCCAATGTAGTTGCACTTAACTCTGACAGTTGTGTTTGCTGTTTACCCACAACATTTGCAAAAGCTACTTGCATGAATTGAGGCTACACTGCAACAAGCTTCTGAATAGAAACTTTCAAGCAAAGAAACATTTCTAATTTCTAGTGTGTCAAATGACACAAGTCTCCAAAACAGTTTTAAAAGAAGTTGACAGTCTTGGCTTTTTGGAAGGAGTAGGCTAATTCTGCTGAATAAAAATACAGAAGTTAAACAAAAAGACAGAACAAGAACCTTTAAAAAAGAGTTCAGGAAGTTCATCAACAAGGAGGATGCCGCACAGCAGCAGAAATCTTCTGACAGACTCATTAACAAAGGCACTTTATGCATGCAGCGTCTGCATGCACCCACATGAATACCCATGTCATAATGGCGCTACACTGCTTTGAGTAGATTTCCAGTAACACAAACCAAAATAATATTTGGCAATTAAAAAGTTTGGGGTTTCTTCAAATGAAGAAAAATGTGTAATAATAGCAAAAAATTTTGAACATTTTGAAAGGAAAGAAAACAGATTTAAGTTTCATTTAAGCATGGGCAAGTTGATATTTAGAGTAAAGGACACAATTTACTCAAAATGACCACATGTCATATATCTTATTTGTGCTCACCTGTGCCTTGAGTAGAATCCTTGTTTTCCACTAAATCTTCTTCCATTTCTGCGCTATTTCCACAGTAGGCAGACCCTACCAACACCTCTCACACATTATCTCGCATCAGGGTCAAACTACAATACACAGTAAAACACTTTGTATTTGAAGTGGTAGGAAATCAGGACTGTAGCTTAAACACAGCGAAATAAAGCTGAGCCCCAAGCGCGCTGATATGCAAGTTCTTAAAATGATCTTCCTCTGGTAGAGTGAAGGTTGGCCAATGTTTTTGCCATCAAGGGGAAGAGGAAGTGTATCTTACAGTCACTGGAGGCCCCACCTACATTGTCTAACCATATATAGTGAAAAGGTACCACTGTGATAAATTTGTATTGTCGTAGTAAGGAAGATTGTTCCTTAAATGTTGGCATGTACCACTGTAATGTAACAATTACACTTCAGAAAACATATCTTGGTTAAACCCAACTTGGTTAAAAATTAGTATATACTAAACACAGTTGTTAATATATATAATAAGTTATTTAAGAAACATTATTTCACTGTCATGTAAGCTACCTTATTCAGCCTAATTTGGACCCTTTTAAATCATATCTATTGGGGTTCTGGACACCGGATACAGTGCAGCTGAACTTGGTACAGCATGATTAAGACCAAAATATACTGCAAAATGAGGTCCATCTGCAGGTGTGATAAAAACCTCAATGAGCAAGTCGGTTGCGTGACATGCCAAGAATAATCAGCTAAAAAGTTCAATTCTACATGTAATCAGCAGCTTGGGTACTCTGTGTTTTTCAGTGACAATGATGAATGAAATGGTGAAGGCAAAATCTGCATTCAGGTCACAGTCTACAATGTGTGAATGACTTCACAGTCACAATATACAGACGTCAAAATTTGTATTTGGACAGTCAACATTAATTAAAAAAATGGTTAGTCCAACAGAACAGTAAGCATATAATGACAGAAGTTGAACCTGTTAAAAAGAAAATATTTTATTTTTTGTCAGTACAAGCACCACTAACATTTTTGTGCACCTTAGTGAGTGAATAACTCCCATCAGGACTCAACAGAAACTGGCTTCATCAGAGATCTGTGTATGTGATGAGGGAAACCATGACACAATAAATATACTGTGAGAAATATGATGATCTACACTTATCTTATGTAATGACAATTCATAAAGTCTACCACAATCAAAATGCTCAACATTCACACTGAACTGATCTGAGATGGAACAGCAATACAGCTCTTTTCCACCGATGCAGCGCTGGTGCTTAATCCAGAACCTGTTTCATATCATTTCCGCCAAAAAAGACAAATGCATTCACAACGCCACAAAACTAATGGGCCCAAAATCAGAACAATCAGTGGCAAAAAGAAGGGCAACCACAAAAATTTCGCAGGTAATTTATAGATGCAGCCCACAGTGGTGAGTCACTGCGCCATAACTTTATGGACATGGAAAATACTTCAAAGTCTGCTACATAAATATAGGCTCTTTCTAAAAACAAAACAAAAACTAAAGCAGAACTTGCACAGGTACCAGCACCGCATCTGTGGGAGAGAGGTAATAAAGTGGCTGATGTGCATTTGGATGTGGGCAAGTTGAAACACCAGTGTGTTTGGTGGCTTGTCTCACGTCTACTTGTATCAAGATGTGGTTTGTGGAACTACAAGAGTAAAACAAACAAACAAAAAAACAGCACAAAACAAAAGAAAATTTTAAACAAAACAGCAACAAACGGTACTGGTGGTAAATCTGCCTCAGTATTTCTGCAAATTAAATTATTTGGTTCTGAATTTTGTCACTTTGATAGAAATTTGCCACAGGGTTCTACTGTACCGTCCAATGACCAACTAAAAACATTATAAAAAAGCACTGTTATAAAATTGAACAAAAACAAACAAAAAGATTCAAAATGCCAAAAGTTCATAGGTTTTGCATAGGTTGATTTAAGACGTCTTTATTTTGCTCTGTGGTGCAGATTTGTTGTTGTTGTAGCCAAATTCATTAATTTCTCAAGGCTACAAAACACAGTCTAATCTCAAATTAGCACCACTGAAATGCAGCAGTCCAGTTTTGTTCTTTACCAGTATACATTATTTCTGTATGACAGAGAGTAGGTGGGAACTGCAAATGCCATTCCAAATGGCAAGTCTAGTGCCTTTATAAAGTAAAAACCACAAGCTGACGACAGCAGAAAACATGACATGCATGATCCCTTTTTAACTTTTCACTTCTGATAATTTAAACTTCTCTATATTCTTTGATACCACATCTGATCTGATGCAAAATCAAAGTGATCAAAGATTAAACATGATTACAAAACTAATGTGGTGCGTTTTATGGACTTTTTTTTTTATTTTTCCAAGGCTCTTAGTGACTTCCTCTCATAGCTCATCCCGTGCTGTACTGTCCAAAGGAGACTGGAGCACATCTGAGTTCTGGGCCTCTGTGCTGATCTCAGCCTGCTCATGACTTTTTCCTGAGCGTGCTCTGTCCCAGTCTGTGAGGATTTTTTCATTGTCCCACACAGTGGAGGTCTCAGTGTCACTGACGTATCCTGGGTCGCCCGTATAGTGAGTTGGATACACAAGGAGAGGCTCTGCAGAAAATGCCAGCAGGTCCCTGGTTTCAAACTGTTCCATATAATCAGATCTGGAGAGTAGGAAAGGTCAAGAAAGAAAGATAAGACTCCTGAATAGAAACGCAGTGCACTGAAAAACTCTTTAGAAATGTTGTTTCTAGTGTTTAGTGTTAGGTTTCTTAGTATTTTTTTTTTTTATGTCTTAACACGGATTCCGTTTTAGTTCTCATCAGATGAGATCTGGTGTATTTTACTTCTATGACTGTTCCTTAAAATATCTCTAAAAGGTGACTCAAGTCTCTGTGTCATAAATTGAATTCAGATTGTGCCCAGATGTACAAAATATAACTGTGTCAAGGTTCAAATCTAGGAGCCAGCACTGATATGGAATAAGTTGAGAGACTTTTGACCGTTGAGGAAATACAAACTGAATACATTTTAAGATAAATCTGAAATGTTGAACTTTTGCACTCTTAAGACTACCTATAAATCTTTGAAAGGAATGATATATTATGTGTGTGTGTGTGTGGTCTTATGTTTGCTGGTGTTAAGACTTACACAGGGTGTTTATTGTACATGAGAGGAAGAAACTCATCCACTGGCAAAATCCTCTTTAATGGTTCTGCTTTTAAAAGCTTCTGGGCACCCTGTAATGATATCATATATCCTAGTGTCCAATATGAATAGTCTGCCTCCACCAAGTTGTGTATATTTGGCACTGCTTTCTCCGGGTGAGCCACTTGCATTCTCTTTCGACCAATATAACTAAAAGAAGATAAAACAAAACAAAACACAGAAAGACAAGTTGATAAGAATTTGTAAACTCTGTGGGAATGACAAAAAATATTATAAAAGAAGTAAAAACATACATGAGATCCCAATCCAGACCTTCACGGTCCACCTCACTCATTAAGTTCATCAAGCGACGTTTGAAGAACACCTCAAAGCGCAGGTCATCTTCGATCACTAAAGATGCGTGGAGACTTCGTTCCACAATCTAAGGCCAGAGAAATCTTTAAGTCACACATCCGTCTGGTTTGGAAATATTCAAATTCTTGGCTTCAGGGGTTTACCTCTTTCCAGATGTTATAGTGGGAAAGAAAGCATCCCAGCTCTCCCTTTGTTAGTGGACGACCATGATAAGGGTCACTGTATCCAGGAAGCATATGGATACCCAAAGCATGAATTTCACTGACGTTCATTGCTCTGAAATAGAGAGAAGTAGAAATGTGACGAAATGACAATAAAGATGGGCCAGTCAGTGGTAGTTACTAATTAGTAAATAAGTGGAAAGCATCACTTACTTTCCATCCACGGCATTAACAACTTTACAAGCAATCTCCTGCTCATGCAGTGCCCTCAGCATACGTTCTCTGCGGTCAGTCCGCCTCTGCAAGTTTATCATGAACACCTACACAAAGGTAAACAGGGGAACCAATCAATGTAATTATAGATTTCAACAGCAGGCAGAGAATTTCAGCGCAGAAACAGAAAGTTGGCCATTTTTGCAGATTCCATCTTCACATCACTCCTTACCTCATCAAAGCCCATTTTGTCAGGTTGTTTTCTAGGAACACTTATGTATTTGGATGGCATCACTGGGGCATTTCGCACTACACAGTCAGAGGGAAGATGGATGCAGAAATGGTATAAATGATATTTAGAAACTCATGCTGAAAGTTACCATTAGATGAAACAGAAGAGAGTAGAATTAGGACTTAAATAAGCCAGTGGAAAAGAGTGAGGGGGTTGCAAAAGTAAAGCTCTCAGCCACTCACCATTAACTTCTAACACAGTGTGTAAGAAGCTGTCCACTTCATCTTGCAAAGTATTGTGGGAACGTAGTGGCACAGGGAAGTATCCATACGTCTCCTTGTTACATACAAACATTTGAACCTCTGTAGCGAACACAGAATAAGAAAACTTAATCTGAAGCTACATTATTTATGATAAAAATAAGTAGACTTTAAGTTGGATTATATCAAATTACCTGCCATCTTAGCAGAGTAAGCAAACACAATAATGTCATCAAATGCCCAGCTGTATTCTGGGTGTGGTGGGTGAAAGGCTAGCTGCCTGGAGGCCTCTTTCCTGAGGTCTATTAGGAACGTGGAGTGTACCATAGGAACGGCAAAACAGCCCTTTCGTATCTGCTTCCTAAGGGGTATGTAGGCAGGCGTCCTCTTATAATAACCCTGGAGAATGAGAGTTGTTAGGCTGTTTATTACAGAGATTATTGAAACTTTCTGACATACACAAAGGGGTTTTCTCAGTGATAATGACAGTACCTGAGAAGTCATTCCACACCAAAAATTTGAGTAGGCTGCACGAGAGTCAAGCATCGGAGCAATGATAGTCTTGTTCTGTTTCATCAGCCCCCGGAGCACATTTGAATTGGTGAGGAGGTTGTCACAATCTGCCAGCTGCACAAGGAGCATAAGAAAAACGGCTAGTGTATGAATAACACACTGTACACAAAACTCTTGAGAAGAAACGCTGAACAGCTCCCGAAGGATAAACGGGGTAACTAAAACTGAGTGATCTCTGACCAGCAGTATATATACTACAATTCTGTTTTTAAGAAAGAAAGTTTAGATGTAAGATTAAAAGCACAAAATTATTGCAATTTTGGATAAACTTCACTTCAAAATTATA